ATGTATTTGACACAGTCCTTCACACTAAGCTGAGTCAAATCAACAACCAGGATGCTGCTTACAAAACTAGTGTTGATTTAATAATCATCTGTATGTGAAAGTCAGAGAATTGTAAAGTCCCAGATGTACTCACAGAACAATGAGAGCACACAGAGCAAAGTGTGGCCCATCTTCATATCCAGCACTGACACCGTCGCTCTGCTTCTGACAAATGTTTCTACTTTGCATTAATATCAGCAAAAAGAGAAAGAAAGAAAAGAGGAGCTGCATTTCAGTTTTATATCTGATCAGACTGTTTCTCAGCCTCTCCTTCTGATCATAACCTGCCCCCTCTTCCTTCCTTTTCACACTAATTCAGACAGGTACAATGATTGCAACTTTCTGACATGCTCATCCTTCTGCCCATTGCAAAAATACATGAACAAAGGTTTGTGTGTGCATGGTTTTATGGTAAATCCTTCAGACTATCGGTGCAACTGGTTGATTTTTAAGAACAAGCTTGATCCGTGTGGATTTTGGCTTGTGATGAATGTTCTTTGAAAATGATTTGATCACAAACTGAGTGTAAGAAATGTTAGGGTTAATGAAGGGTTAATGAAAAGTCAGATAATATTAATAATCAATATTCGTTTAAATTCCGACACTGGAGAGAAGCGGCGTATTCGTAACGTTCAGTTTCATTTGGGTCAACCCCGTGATTTGTGGTGGACCTTTCTTCTGGGTGTTTCTTCTATTCTTCATGGCAGAAGTGTTAAAGGTCAACCAGGTTGGTTATATTAAAATTCAAAGTCAAAAGCTGAAAAACATGAGACTACTTGCCAAATAAAAGGAGAGTTTATTGTTAAACCTTCTAAATTAATATTGATGTTTACAAATACAGATCTTGTCAGATGCACTCTGTACCAGCAGTAAATGTGATCCTGTCCATCTGCATTAACAACAGGTATCATTACCCAGGACAGCTTCTGTAAGGGCTGTGTGTTAAACAGGACCCAAATGTAAGACACAGAGGCAGTGAAGTGGTTAAAATGTGTCGTGTTTGTGAAGACTGTCAACATTTAAGGTCATTTCATGTGTTATTTTTAATACATGATATGACCTTATAAAACGACACATCCAGCTCTACCGGACACTGGTATGGTGTTTATTCTTATGGTGTCATGTTGTTTGTCCTCTATTGCTGCTGGAACACTAGAATTTCCCCACTGGGGAATCAGTAACGTTCTACCTACCTACCTCAGAAGGAGTCACACACCTTGTTGGTCTATCTGCTGTAGATGCTAGTTCTTCTGGCAAAGGAGGAACAACTCCCGAGTAGGCAGGTGAGTCCAAAATATTTTTTACCTCAGGGTCCAAACTCTTGCTCCTTCTTTATTCATTCTTGATTTTATTCTTCTCCCTGTCCAGGGCTCCCCTCTGCTCAGTCTTCTGGTGCAGTCCACCTCTCTACCATGGATTCAGCTGGACCTGTCCTCATACGAGCGGATACTGGGATATGTTAGCACCCATTACCCTCCCTCTTTGTTGCTCAGTGCTGATTCTGGGCCTCAGCTGCTGCTGAAATCACTGCGCAGTACTGCAGGGCTACACCCCCGTCCTAACGAAGCCCCACATCAGGTGAAGCAGTACAGTGCTGTTTGTTTGACAAGTTAAATCACAGATTTATTAAGGTAAGTAGTTAGGCAGAACTTTATTGATCCCACAGTGGGGAAATTCCAGTGTTCCAGCAGCAGTAGAGGACAAACAACATGACACCATAAGAATAAACACCATACACACATCTTGAGAAAAAACAAGCAAAACAAAGATCCAGGTACCTAAAAACCAGACAAAAATATTGTATTTGGTCAGAACAATATATCACACATGAGCCTATTTACAATGCATTTCAGCCCCAGGAACTGAATATTGTACCTCAGTTGACTATTACATAGTCCCTCATACTTTCCCCTAGCCTATCACTGCAGTGATGTATTGTACAGTCTGATGGCTGTGGGGAGGAATGATCTGCAGTAACGCTCCTTCTTACACTGGGGATGTAACAGGGGATGGCAGGGGTTATGCACGATGGATGTTAGTTTTGCCAGCATCTTTCTGTCTGCCACCTCCTTGATGGAATCCAGAGGGCAGCCCAGGACAGAACCAGGTCTATTAACCAGCCTGTTTAGTCTCTTTCTGTCCCTGTCCTTGCTACCTCCTGCCCAACCCACAACAGCGTAATAAACTACAGATGCCACCATAGTATCATAAAATGTCCGAAGGAGTGCCCCCCGCACACCAAAGGACCTCAGTCTCCTCAACAAGTGAAGGCGGCTCTGGCCCTTCCTGTACAGGGCATCAGTGTTTTCAGTCCATTTTGTTGTTGAGGTGGACCCCCAGGTATTTGAAGGTGTCCACAATCTCAATGACTGAGCCCTGAAAGCTCACCGGAGTGAGTGCTGTTTCCGCCGGGGATCAATCACCATCTCTTTAGTCTTACTGGTGTTCAGGACCAGGTGATTTTTCTCACACCACTTCACAAAGTCAGTAACAACCCCCCTGTATTCCCGCTCATCCCCCCCAGATACACATCCAACAATGGCAGTGTCATGAGAGAACGTTAGTAGGTGACAGTGGTGGGAGTTGTACTTGAAGTCCGACGTGTAGAGGGTGAACAGAAAGGGGGAAAGCAACGTCCCCTGGGGTGCCCCCGTGCTGCAGACCATGTCCAACACACAGTCTTACGAACTGAGGTCTGTCTGTGAGGTAGTTAATGATCCATGCAGACAGGTGTTGGTCCACACCTGCCCCTGTCAACTTTGCCCTCAGCAGTGACGGCTGAATTGTGTTGAAAGCACTGGAGAAGTCAAAGGACATGACCCTCACAGTACTTCCGGGGGACTCCAGGTGAGATAGGGCCCGATGCAGCATGCAGATAATAACGTCATCTACCGTGATGCCAGGTCGATATGCAAACTGCAGCGGGGCCAGCGCTGAGCTCACTTGGGCACGGAGGTGGCCGAGGACAATCCTCTCCACGGTCTTCATCAGGTGGGAGGTCAAGGCAACAGGTCTGTAGTGGTTTGGCTCCTTGGGATGAGTTATTTTAGGAACTGGGACCACACAGGATGTCTTCCACTGAACCGAGACTCTCTCCAGGCTAAGACTCAGATTAAACATGTACAGGACCACTTCACTGAGCTGGTCTGCACACTCCCTGAGGACCCTGGGGCTGATGTGGTCAAGGCCTGTGGCCTTCCTGGCCTTAATCCTCCTTAACTCCCTCCTGACCTGGTCCGCCGTGAGGCTGAGGGGGCGGGTGGGCGGTGACTGCTCAGGAGCTGTGGGCTGTTGAGAACCCCCTGTGACAGTGGGAGGAGGGGCAAGGTATAGCTGAGGTGTGACCAGCTGTGAGGAGACAACTGACCTGGAGAGGTGAATCGG